ATGGAAGAGCGCTTCAACCTGCCGTGCTTAACTCACTGCCTCGGCTTAGCGACAATGTGGTGGAATCATTACCTCAGGTCTCTCAGGTACTCAGAGGGAGAAGGGACGTGAACTCTGTTGGAAGCAACGAATAGAGATACTGCACCGAGTTAATAGACGAGCACATGGGTTTACAGGTTTTTTTGGGTAGACTGAAGTTAACAGTACACTGTTGATTAATGAATCTTGTTCATAAGTCCAAGTTTTACAGATCCAAGGAAAAAAATCAAACCTGGAAACACATGCGCTTTGGGGTATTCTTATTTATTTAGTAACGAGAGTTTGCTTAACTTTCTCAACTTAAAAGAAACACTGAAATTGCGGCACTTAAGTTCAGTGGATTGATTTTTGTAGCAATATTCTCCCATTACTTCTTGATTGCAGCCTGCTATTGAACACCACAGAAGAAACATTTTGTCTCGCAAAATGACTGTAAAAATACGAACCACGTACAAGAACTGTGATCTATTCTGTTGTCAAGCACGCCGCTCCTGTTTTCACATTGTCCACATCCTGCTTCTGTACCTCCCTCAGCCTACAGAGTTCTGGCCTGTACATAATTGTCTAAGTGCTTCTAGATGGCAGTGGGCGATTTGGTCATTTAGGGGCCTATTAAGTCATTAGTGCAGCAGAGGGACTGCCTTCTGCCTGCCGACAGGACCAGATGATCAGCCTGATATGTGTTGCCTTGCAGTTTTTCAACAGATTCGTGCAGGTAATTATAGCTTCAATGTAAACCACCCTCAGATGTCACGCTTAAAGAGGGAATGCATGTCACCAGCATGCTTTAAAGACAATCTCCATCTCTGCTTTTCCTCCTCCTCCTTCTCTCCTTTTTCCACTCAGCCTATGCGTTTGGATTTGTGTGTGCGGATGAGCAATAGGTGAGAAGCGGGACAACCAGAGCCTCGGGACATGTCAGAGAAAAGGATACGGAATGAAGAAGAAGGCAACAGAGACCCAAATAGAGTGAGGAGGTGAGAGGAAGTTAGAGTATAGTGCAGACAGTCATCCTCTGTTGCCAACACAATTTCTTTAAACCCAAACTTACAATGTAAATATTTGGATATGGCTAAGGTTGGTTGCTTAATTCCACCCTTTAAAGATGTGCTGTTTAGGTGAACACGGTCCAAGGAACACAAATCAAAGTATCATTCATCATTTAATATGACGCATGAGAATCTTATTTTGATTTCATTTCTGTAAACCTCGCCCAGCTTTTGGAGCCATTCATTACCCTGGGTTCTCAATATTACATTCACCGCCTATAAATGCTCATCATCTAAGTGCCACGCACAGCCAAAAACCTCAGTATCCCCACAGAAAAAGTCATTCCCCGTGGAAAGGCTGTATTTTATTTTTACCATTTCACTGCTTTTAAATCATCTTCAAAATTGCTGATTTGTATCAGTCTGAATTGGAAAACCAAACACAAATCATATTTAATATCATATAAAGTAGTAGTGACTTATGGGAAAAGTCTAAACACTGTTAAAAGGAATGTCTTTTTTTCCCAGACAGACAAAAGTTTCACTTTATGGTCGCTGTGTGTAAACTCAGCGGTTGCTATCGTGTATTTTTTATTACATGTTTGCAAGCACATGTTGGAAAATCTTAATGTCATCACTTTGCACATTATTTTACCATAAAGAAATACATTGTTGTGATACTTTGGCCATCTCCCCAGGCCTGAAAGTGCCCCACTGTGACCACAGCATGTGTGAGGCTGCAGCGTCAGCACAGCAGAAAGCCTCAGGCTGATGTCTGCTCTAGCAGAGGAATGCCACAGGAGCTGCACTGATTGAAATAGACACATCAGACTGTCACTACATCTGTAAACAGGGCGCCTCCTAATCGGGAGGAGAACGCCTTCTTACTCAGAGGAAACTGGATTCACCAACCACCCTCCTGTCTCGTAATAACATTACCCAATCTCCTTTCAAGCCTAAGGTGACGGCACTCGAATCTGTCACCGGTCATCTATCTCTCGCTCTCTATTTGCGCAAGTAAGTAGCTTGAGCTGATGGAAACTAATGGTCAGAGGTTGAACAAGGGACTCCATCAGACTGGTCTCTGTCTGCCTGCTCAGCAGTGCCCAGGCTGACCTCAGCAGACTGCCAGTCTCCTTACCGCTCTGCTGCTTGTGGCTCCGCTACCACCTCCCACCATGACCCATGACCCCCGCCCAGGAGAAAGGCGCCACCGATACGATGCAATTTCCCTTTGACGTGGTCCAGTGGTCTCAGCTGCCAAGTGACCCAGGCAAAGTAAATATTGTTGCTTATCACAGGCCAGCGCCACCACCAAATTTCCCAAAAGAAGTGTTGGACTAAATCAATTTTTCTTCCATGTCCCAACTCCAAAAATGAACAGACTCTAGGTGCAAATAAGCCAGTGGAGTTTGATGTTGTGCATTAATAACACATGGTACAGTTGCTATTATTATGGTGATAGTGGCATTTACTTGATAAGTCATTATGTAATATATGTATCTACCCTTGAGGGAACAAAAGACATACAAAGAGTGTTGGTTATGCAGTGTACACTCTCTCTGCTGACTGCACTGTCTCCAGCCTTTTCCAGTCTGCACTGAAAGCACTTGGTACCGCCCAGCTGTCAACCTACATCGGCCTTCAAAGGACTGGAGAAGAACCATGCACCCTGCCTGCCTTTGTTTCCACAGCCTTAAACTGCCTCTCACAGAGACATCCACACCTCTCTGTCATCTAAAAAGACCAGAGAGAGGTCTCAGACAAACTGCACTCTTGTTAGACCACAATTGTCTAAAGAGGGTTCTGCTATACTTGATATCTCTCTGACCCTCCCACGCTACCACAAACACCACCACTAAACAGAAGATTACTGCTTTAAACATGCCTCCTCCTCCTCCTATTCCAGAGAGGATGATATATTTGCCGTACCACTTTTCAGCCAAAAACTGCTTCCTCTAAATTCATGAGTCACAAAGCAGTGCTTCGAGACCACCCATCTCCCAGGAGTCCACTGTACTGGTACTGTAACAGTGGGACCGGGCCCTCCACTGAGATACCTACAGTGTGATAGGTGATAAATGATCAGTGATCACGTTTTTAAGAGCCTCTCTGTAAAGTCAGAGTTATGGGATGGTGTTAAAAATGTACTTTTTATTGGGACCAAATTATCTGTGAGCCAGCCAGGTTTAGAGTAACTCCCATTTTAGCTCTCCCTTTGCTTATGTTTCAGATTAGCATTAGCAGCAACAAGATGCCGGTCACTCTCCATGCAACTCCTCCGCCGTCTTTCCCCTGTTTCTTCCTCCTTAGTCAATGTATCTCTGACTTTCTCTCTCTGGTGTTTCACTTCTCTTTCCCCTGATTCCCACCCACGCATTTTCTGTTCAACTTTTGGTGTATCCATCCTTCTGACCTCATCGCTGTTATAGTCAAGCGTAGAGGGATCCAATCAACCATAGTGTTCAGATTAAATCACAAATTATTATAATTGAGAATAATGGTTTCCATGTCAGTTTCAGTTCAGCTCTGGATTGTTCTCATACATGTCTGGAAGCAATGGGGTTGGAAGCTCTGGAGTCGGTGGTGCCTATGTACAGGTTGGGTGAAATTCAAATTATTTGTGATAAAAGTTCGATTTAATGTGCTTATCTGAATTTGAAAGATCGTCATATGATTTTGTTTAAAGCCTTTTCATGCAAAAACACATCTCAAAGATTAAAGTCAAGTCAAGGTTCTTTAGAAACATAAACGCTATTTTCTAAAACTGGACGTGTGCTGCTTCTCAACCATGTTTGGGTGTAATTTAAGCAGTGTTGTTTTTAGGGGCAGTGACTGTCGCACTAAATGCAGATCAACATTAAATACACTAAAAACAGGAAACATGGATCCCTTAAGGTAATAAGAAAACGACACCTGTACGGCACATAATAGACATAAACACTGAAAAAAAACTCCCAAAGGCATTGGCAATATTCTCCCGAGAAACATAGTGTGCCTGCCCTAGCTTATTTCTAGGGTTAGTAAAGCTCTCAGGCATGTGCAGGGCATGCAACGCGACTTTGACAGCGTAGTTAGGAGGTGCTGATGAAAGAGGAGAGGCAGGAAGCCCGCTGCGTCTCAAATTAGCTCCCGAGCCCTCCGTCCTCTCGCATGGAGGTTCAGGCCCTCACAGATTCTCTTGCATTACTCAGTGAACATGGATGTATGAACCTTTTACATGTAGAGCGTGCCTTTGTGTGTAGGCAGTCCACGCAAACATGTGCTTGATTATGAATACTTTGTGAACACACATGCAGATTTCTCATTTCAAATTTTGTCAAAAGGCTGCATTAGGGAATAAAAACTATTAGATCATCTTACTCCTTCTTTGAGGCTCAACAGAGTTTTGTCTGGGAACTCACATGCCCTGAAAAATGTTTTACAGCCTCTATTTTAAGTAAGCTGCTGACTAATTCTTTAAATAGAAACATATTTCCATTGCTTTTTACATGATACAATCAATTAAAAATGCATATACACCTTGTGTTTTGCTGATCAAGTGATTTGGTAATTACGCTCCTCTCAAATTGCAGTATGAGTTTAGGATTACTGCAGAGAGCTTGACACACAGTCTGCATTAATAAATGAGAGACAGCGCTCCTCTCTTCTCACCTTCTTCAGTGTGTTATTGTGTACTCTCTCACACCCTTTTTCCAGATTCAGCAGTTAAATATGTTTGTGTAGTGAGGTGGAGGGACGTTCATAACCATAAAGCTGTCTACAGCAGACATGTTTTAATCACTTCTTTCTCCTTATGTTGTCTTCTCCCACATTCTTAGTTGCATGCAGTTCATGTGTATATATTTTCATGTATTCAGGAGGATAAACGATGCTCCAACTTCACCAAATTGTTCTTGTAATTTCTTCGGCTATTCCGGCTGTGTACACACAGGAAAAATAAAGGCAAAGACAGTCATTTCATCCTCTTACCTGAGAGAAGTTGAGTCCATTGAGGGGATGACACTGCTCCTCCACTTGCTCAACTGCCCCTGTAGTCTTTCCCATTCGCTCTGCCTCTTGAGCTAGAAACAGGTCGAGCACTGGTGTCCCCCTGGACCGGACGTCCCATTCTGTGAGTGAGTTTACCATCAGCATTACCCACACAGGCCTCTTCCTCTCCCAGTTCCCTGCAATAGCATTGAACAGGTAGTCAGCATACAGGCCTCGGCCTCGCTGGTCAGCTGTCATCCAATAAGGCATCATGTGTTTGACGTAATCAAGATGGCGTTTGAGTCGGCGGTACAGATCTCGAGGTAGCAGGGTCTGCAGGTTTTCTCCGTGGGGCAGTAACTGGCAGCTGGTCAGTTTGGAGATGGTCAGGGGATCAGTCAGGTCCAGCTCAAAGTAAACATTATTGCTGTCATGGAAAGCCTGCTTGGAGCTGTTGGGAATGAAGTCCCAGACTCGGGTGTAGGGCACGTGGATGGTACCAAATAAGTAAGAAGGTGGGTGAGGATGTGCCCGCTTTACTCTCCAAAGGAAAGAGTTCATGTCACTTTGCTATAAAAAACACACAAAAAAGAAGAAGAGGAAAACGATTTTAACAGTAAACAGAAACAAAAACACCAAAACCATCATGTTAGAGCTCGCATTAAAACTAAAAGTGACAGATTTTTCCTCTGTTGTGGTTTACTGGCTCATGGGCTCAGGTCAACAAGTTAAAAATTTGAAATACTATTTTAAAATTACACCGCAGGAAGTATGAAGTCTAGTCAGCCTGGGGCTGTGCTGCGAGCACTTGCAGTCAGGGAGTTTATAGAGGGGCCTTCTGGGCTGTAAACAGACCCCCGTGTATTGTTGAGGTGCATACCTCGGTTGCCAAAGCCTCTTTAGGCCTGGGAAGCATTTTCAGGGCTGTGGTGCAAATATACTACACTGGAGCTCATAAAAACCATGAAAGAAACCTGCACTCAATTCTGACCTCACTATGATACTTATATTTGGGATTTTACTTTCTTTTTTTGACATCGGGCATGAGGACGAAATGCTGACAGTCTCAAGTACAGCACTGATTTTGTCTCCAAGGTTTGTGTTACAGCTTTTTACTGTTGTGGTTGTCTTAATTAGAAAGAAATGTCAAAATTGAAATTAAATAATCACAGTCGTTCTAAATGAATATAAGGCTCTACTGCATTTAAAACATGTTTCTTATTAGCTGCTCTGCAAATGTGCTTTGCATGTGCTATGACTTTGATGTTGGCATTATTTAAATATGACAAAAAATAGCTTTTATAAACAATATCAAACTTCTGGCCTCTGAGACACAGTGCAATCAGGCATTTGAGGGATGAAACCCATTACTGTAAAATAAAGTTTTTCTTAGAAAATGTTTATTTCTAAAATTTAATCAAGATTTTCTTCAGCTGTGCTCCACTGCATACTGCCAATGCTGCCTTTGTCATTTCAACTTTTCAAATAGCGGTGCTCTTGTGGTATGTTTCTATAATCATCATAATTAATTGCAATTTACATACCGTAATTACTGGCACCAACTTGTGCTAGACAAAATAAATCAAAATGACCATATTTGATTTCAGGGCAAATTGTTTTGCAGACACACTGCGTTTGTTTCTGTGTTTCTAACCTCATTTTCACTCTGGCCAAGGCCACTCGTCTGCGAAGAGTAACGGGAAAGGTTTGGAAGGGATTAATATCATATTTTGGAAGGGCGGAAACTAATAAAGCATTTTGCACGTCCACCGTTAACGACGTGTACTTGGGCCTAACCGTAAACGAAGACGTTTTGACGTGGAAAGTGAGACGGTGTTCGTGTAAGACCTGAAAAGAGGCGAGAGCCTCTCTACTAAGGCAGCTTTGACTTTTCTGGCGAGCCTTGACGCACGGGGTTCCTTTTTATGGGGGTAATTACTCTTAACAGAAAACAGAGACCACTGTACTGATGCATTAGAAATCACATGGAGCAAGCCTTCAGCCATATCTGACAACAGTACTATTATAGGACAACCTAATACAACAAAGTCTGTGATCTGTAAACAACTCCTTAATAATATCTTCTGCACACTCAAGTGCCAAGTGTTTTGTTTTTGTTTTGGACTGTTTCTGGGCTCTTGGGCAGTTTTCATGTGCTGTATTTTTTTTTCCAACAGAAAAGAGTGTTGGATATGATTCTTGAAGTCACGATGGCCATTAACTTCCCCCCCGCTCTTTATGTCGAAAATGCAAGAAGTGGAAGTCAGACAGCCGGCTGGGCAAGCACATTAACCGAGCTGGAATATGTCCGGGCTGCACTCCGGCACTTCCTCACGGTCTGCGAGTTCAAGCCACGTCCATAATTTTACCAATATGCCCGATAAGTGTTTTAATAAGCCGCCACAGTACTGAAACACGATCACTTCTGAAAGGTCAATGAAACTTTCCCAAATGAAGTAAGTCACCCGTGGGTGTTCCCACTTGCGTTTGTCACATAAACAGCCATAAAGTTGGCAAACGGTAACAGTTTCTCTTGGCAGTCTCCTTCACGTTAAGTCCCCACTCCACAGTTTTACTGCAGTATAAGGGTCTTTCATATATACCTGAACATTTACATAAACATAACGCACAAAAAGTTATTATTATTATTATTATTATTATTATTATTATTATAACTTTAAGTTATTGTTGCTATAACTTTAAGCATAAGAAATAAGAAATTGTAGGCTGTTTTCTTTAAAGTCATATCAGCCTTTGCGCTTAAAAAAAAAAAAAGATGCTGGAAGCCAAATTTCCCCCGGAGACAATAAAGACTGAACAGCTCTTCAGAGGTGATTATTCTAGTTTTTAAAATTAAGAAAACATTTTAAAATGATTGTCTTACAGTAAACAGACATCACTGTTGTAGCTATTTGTACAGCAGCTTTGACAAACAAGGCAGTGA